GGAGAGCTCGGGCGGGCGGGGCGCGCGGCGGGCGCTGTCCGGGCGGCGCGGGCCTTGGCACCGGGGACTTAACACTTCATGCTTCTCGCCGCCTCTTCTGCCTGGCGCTTTTTAATTTTTCTTTTTTTTTTTCTTTCTTTTTTTCCTCCTCTTTCCTCGTTCCCTCGCTCTGTCTCTTCCCTCTGCGCAAAGTGCTACACAGAGGTGCAGCTCTGCTGGCGGAAAGGGAGGGGAGGGGGAGTTAAGTTCTTTCTTGCCTTTTTTTTTTTTAGCAAAATAGCAAAGTCCCGGGCAAGGAAAAAAAATAAGGGGAGGCAGAGAGCAAAAGGGGGGTAAGGCCGAGCCGAGGAGCAGCCCAAGCTACAGCTCGAAGATGAAAAAAGATTTTAAAGCCTCTGATCCAGCAAGAAGAGTTTAAAGCAATTGCGGAGTTTTATAGCACTCGTGACGTCAGGCCCAAGTGGGAAATTGACTGGCACTCCTGGCCAATGGGAGGCGGCGAGAGCGGCAGCGATTAGCATAATAGTATAGAAACAAGGAAACTTTTCGGAGCTGTCAATCAGGGCCCAATCAGCTGACTGTCAGCTGGGATGGGCTGGGTTAACCCTTGCAGTGCCGCAGCTCCGGGGGAGGGAAGGAGAGAAGGAGCGAGGGAGGGAAGGAGGGAACGGACCCCCGCGCAAAGTTTAGAGCAAGTGCTAGAGTTTTCCCGAGGGGCAGCTGGGCGCCGGAGGACCCGGGAGGACGGTGTGCTTCCTCCGGAGCGCGACAGAGGCCTCTGGCTCTCGAGCCCGCGCCCGCCCGCCACCGCACGCCTCGCCGCCCGGGCCCGGGGACTGGGGGTGGTGAACCGGCCTGGCCGCTGGCTTTCCTTCCCTCCTCTGGGCACCTTGAGCACCCCAGGTGTCTGCCCCGGGTCCTCCCTTCCCCGCGCCTGGCTGCGCCTTGGAGCCCAAACTTGGCCAACTCTTTGTCCCTCTCCCGGTGCGGTGCGCTGGGCTGGCTGGGGGCGCGGGGTGGGGACCGCGCGCGGGACGCCGCCTGGCTGTGCGCCCGCCGCGCGGCGTGGGGTCCGTGGAGGGAGGAAGCCCCTTCAAACACCCTCTTGGAAAGGAGGGGAAATAAGTTGTTCCGGGCCATTCTGAGCGGGGGGCTTAGCGGGCCGCTGGCGTTGCGCGCCCTTGGAGAGCAAGCGTCTACGACAGCGAGTTAACTCCGGGAAGCTCGAGTCGGGTCACCGGCTCGGCTCCGGACTCTGGCTGGAGTTTGGCCTCTGAGATTTCTCTCTCTCTCTCTCTCTCTCTCTCTCTCTCTCTCTCTCTCTCTCTCTCTCTCTCTCTCTTTCTCTCGCTCGCTGGCTCGCTCTCTCTCTCGCTCTTTCTCTCCATCCCCATCTGAAAATCTGACACTCTCCCCCTTTAAACAATACCAAGATCTGTGTTCCCTCTGCACTTTTACATTTCACTTAATTATTTCGGATTTGGTTATGACCCGCCACGGGGAGAGGGGGCAATACCCCAGCCTTCACTGGCTCCCCTGCAAGGGTTAAATTTTAAACAGCTTTTTCTGGACGAGTCCGGAAACCCAGAGGTTGAGAGAGGTGGGGGAGCCCCCCCCCGCAAATAGCTGATAACTAGTTCACATTTCTAGATCGATTCTTTTAAAGCTGTGAAAAAAAGAAAGAGCAACGAGAAAGAAAAAGAAAAGGAAAGAGACCAACAACTCTTTTCTAAGATTTTAAAGCGATAGGCGAGTCGGAGGAGCTGAGATTTATTTGGGAGAAAGCAAGCGTGCATGAAGCCGACCCACTTTTTTTTGGAAGACCAACCCACCTGCTTGGAAATTGGAACTGTTGATTCCACCAATTAACGTAATGTGTTGGGTGTTAATCGTATTTATTTTATTTTATGGCGGGGGGGAGGACGCTAGAAGGGTGCACAGAAAAAAAAAAAAAAAAAAAAAAAATCCAAGAAGCCTGAAAAAGGATCGAAGAGTGGCAACTATTGTTGGACCGAGTTGGTTTGTACCTCAACAGCGCCACCTTTCGGCAAAGGTCAGTTGAAATTGATCCGGGTCCAGTTTTGTTGAAGTGGAAAGAAGCTGCTTTTCCAGTGTGGGAGGCGGACAGAGGCTCAGAAAAGTTAGTTGCACTGCATTGGAGAACCCAACCTTGTAAGAAAGGGGTCGGAGAAAGGGCTAGCAGACGCGGGAATCATTTTTACCCAGCTATCCCCCTTCATTGTTAAGAGAGGCCAGGGAACCCAAAGCCCTGGGGGTATAATTCTGGCTGAAAAGACTTCGGCCAGTGGATCCCCGTAACAGGGCCCCAAACCCTTTAAAACTACCAGGATGGATTTTCAACGGGCTTTATAGCAATATCAATAGAATTAAAGTTACTTGTAATTCGGTGATAAATGAGATGTCTCCAGTGAGTAAGATTAAGTGCAGCGCTATAAAGTTGTTTATCTGAAAAGTAATTCTCAGAAAACCTGACTTCTGACACCTAGTCATATATTAAGCCAGCTTCTTGAACATTGCACTTCAGAATGGTCTGACCCACCCCGTGGCGGCATACTTTACTATTTATAAGGAGACCTGAGGTGTCTGCCTGGCTTTGCACACCAGATCAGACCTCTGTTAAATTCTCTGATCTTGGCAGCCTTGGGTTTGAGCAAACCCAGGAACTGGTGCTGGAAGACTCTCCAGAACAGTTGTAGGGACATCCTAATCCTAAAGGGCCAAAGCTGTTGGTACTTTCCAGATAAGCACTTAGTTTGTGGGATTTTTTTTTCTTTTTTTTTTTTTTTTTACACCATTGCTGTAGAGAAGTTGTTTATAAGCATAGTCTGGGTTTAACAGGAGTACTTTGTTGGGGTGGAATGAAGTATGCCTAGCTCCAGTTTGGGGAAAAGAGTGAAGATTATGTCAATATTTATGCAACCCAAGAGAATACCCTTGCTTTCTTCCTCCTTAACAATATTTTACCTAGAAATGAAGTTAAGGGATTATAGTTTGTGTACTCAGAGGAAAATCCACTGCTTAAATTACTTGAAGATTAGATTGTTCAGCACTGTTCATAGCAATCATTTTCCAGGTCTTTTAAAAAATCACTGGCAGCAAACATCTGAAATTTATGTAGTTCATGTACAATATAATTTTTTGTGTGTATTTAGGAAGAATTAATTCTTTTTTGTTTATCATAATTTTAAAAATCCTACTGCATTGCATTTTTGGTTAAGAGCTGTGAAGTACGATCCCGGTACCTCTCAAAAAAAGTACTTTTGGCCAGGAACGCTGAAGCTGCCACATTTATAAATAAACATTTTATAAACAAAGTTTGCTAATGACGAAGACCATGCCGTATAGTTTCATGGCCACATACCTAATTGTTGCAATTATATATCATTTCTAGAAATGAAATGCCTATGTTTGGGCAGCTGAATGTATTATTATCTGCACATTTTTATGGTTTATTTTTGTTCACTACTGTCAAGCCATGGTATTTTTCTTTCTCTTATTCCAGAGTCATTTATAGTCTCCCATTTTCTCTTGGAAACAGAGAGGATCAGAATTATTTTTTAGAAGTACAGCAGGCGTGCTCTCAGGCTTACAACTTAATTCTCGTTTTTGTCCTTTTTGCTTTATTATTTAGTGATTCACAGGGGTGTCTAAACATTTACACTTCTTTATTAGCAGCATTTCTTTTATAACAATTGAACTCTCTCATTTTAATTAGTACTATTCAGGTTTCTGATTCTCTACAATTACTGCAGGCCACATTTCTTTAGACTTCTTTGCTAATGTTGTTTG